GCATTAAAGTGCTGGAGAATCTATCTATTCCGCCACTTTGACCTGATGACTGATAATATGGGTGTTGTCTATTTACGAACCAAACCGACTCTCACCAAGCGTGAGGCAAGATGGGTAGAGTTTTTAGCTGATTATGACTTTACGGTCTTTCACAAACCAGGAAAGAAAAACATTGCCGACCCGCTTTCACGCCGTCCAGATCTGTTCAGTGATTCTGAAATAGGCGGGTCATCCTATCCTCCTAACATTCAGTTGAATGCCATAGAGCATACCCTAGAGATTAATCCAGACTTAGCGCAGTTAATTGTCAGCGGTTACAAGTGCGACAAGGATCTTGCTCCCATTATCAGGAGACTGAAAAATTCAAGCCATGACAATCTGCACGACCGTTACCTTCTAAATGAAACACCCGGTTATCTTTATCTCAGATCTTCACCACAGAACAGGTTATGCATTCCAAAGAGTAGCAAACTCCGACTCGCCCTGCTTCAAGAATACCATGACTGTGTGACTGCGGGGCATCCCGGTCGAGATCGCACCTACTTCAGACTCGCTAGATATTTCTATTGGCCCAGAATGGGACTGGATGTAAAGGCGTTTGTCAAGTCATGTGACGTCTGCCAACGAGTTAAAGGCGGCCAGCTAAAAACTGGTCTCTTGCAGAATTTACCAGTGCCCAGTCAGCCGTGGGCGGATATCTCGATGGATTTTATCATGGGTTTGCCTAGGACCGACACAGGTCATGATGCTATATATGTATTTGTAGACCGCTTGACAAAGTGTGTACATTTAGCACCTACTTCCTCTACTATTGACGCTAAAGGAAGTGCTGATCTGTATATTCAACATGTATTTCGACTTCATGGTTTGAGTTCTAGTATTGTATGTGATCGTGATCCAAGATTTACGGCAGCATTTTTTCAGGAATTGTTTGATCGCTTAGGAACGAAACTAGCATTTAGTACTGCCAATCACCCTCAGACAGATGGCCTAACTGAACGAGTAAACAGAATAGTAGAGGATGTGCTGAGGGCTTTTGTAAATCATAAACAAGATAACTGGGATATGCTCCTACCTCTCTGTGAGTTTTCTATCAACAGCGCTACTCAATCATCTACAGGAAACACACCGTTCTTCTTAAATTACGGTCTAAATCCCAGAGCACCACCCGACTTCCTCAACCCTATTCAGGGAGGCAGAGATTCAGCTGATTGGTTGCAAGCAAGACAAGACGCGGTCAAGATCTCACAAGATGCGCTAGTGGCAGCTCAAGCTCGTCAGGCCTTCTATGCAGATCGGACAAGGGTCGAGGGAAAGCTGAAGGTGGGAGATTTGGTAATGGTCTACCGGGATTTCCTCCTGACTCCTGAAGCTCGGGACCGACCATCCCATAAATTACGCCCCAAGTGGTTTGGCCCCTTTCCTATAACCCATGTGGTCGGCCCGAATGCCTACAAGCTCAAGTTGCCTCATACCAGCCGCTGTCACCCGGTATTTAATGTGTCGGCACTCCGTGCCTACGAGAAGAACGCTATTCCTAATAGGAGACAGCCTACGCCTCCGCCTATCACGGACCTTGATGGTCATGCCCGCTATGTGGTGGAGAACATTCTCAGTCACCGCCGCCGGCAGAATCAGCTTCAGTACCTAGTCAAGTGGCAAGGCTACTCTGATGCCACTTGGGAGCCTGAACATTATTTGTTGGATGAATCTGGTAATGACATTGTTCCACTTCAGAAGTACAAAACCTTGGCTTCTGCCCGCTGAGTTTTGCAGTTGAACTTCTAGTTTCACCTTACACATTTGTTGAGCTTATTACACTTTATTTGCATGGAGTTTCAGTCGTCTTATTGTGTTACTTCAGTGCGAAGCCTTTTTTCGTCTCGCACGTGTTTGCGCTTATTGTACTCTATTCCACTTGAGCATTTGGGTTATAAGCTCCTTCCTCTCCATAGGAGGGGGATGATGTAACAGTTTTCCCCTGTTCTCTATAACTTTACACTCCCTCGCACCTCATGCGTCTTACGCCTGTCTATTAGCACCTTCATTGGCGCCATTGCCACATGTATACTATCACATTTTGCATATAACTGGTCGAGGCACGCTCAACCAGGCCTCTTACTTTTCAAGTTTGATTAAACCTGTTACATGAAACTCACCAGTAGATGCCAAATTCCCAATTCTTGCAGAATGTAAAGTAGGCTGGGTGGAAGGATCATCTGGGCTATCCGCGTCAAGCGCATCGTTGCCATGCTGTGCCTGTGTGCCTCCAAGTGCTGTATACGAGTAGCTAGGATTGGCAGTCAGCTTTGCCCTGGTCACACACTGACCAGTGACGGATGGGCTGGTTTGTGTGTAGCAGCGATTAGTCGTCATTGCTGTAACTGGAGTGTGTGGAGTGTGGAGGGAATAGGATGGATTGTCAGCCATCAGTGCTGCACTGCTATCTGCTGCTGGTGGTGGTCGGGGTGTTACCGGTGGGCCTTGGTAAACCTTTCTCCTTGGAGATACAGGGCGTTTAATGTTCGTTTGAGACTCACGTGTGGGGTCGTTGTGTGAGTAGCTTGGGTTGGTTGTCAGCTGTGTGTTGTCATCCTTGGTTGTTGATTGAGCAGCGGGGTTGTGAAGTGGGTAGGCGGCATTTTCGGTCAAAGCTACGGTGCTGCCATCCACTGATAGTCGCGGTAATGCCTGGCTCTGTGAAGAACATCGATCACGCGGTACATCATCACTGGTTGTAACTGGTAAATCAATCTGTGAATAGCTTGGATTGGCAGTAAGCGACATGTTTTCAGTGCTTGCAGCCTCGTTTCCTGGTGTGTGAAGGGGATAGATTGGATTGTTCGTCAAAGTCGGAGTAGCACCATCCACTGGAGGTCTAGGAGTAACCGGAGGGCCAAGGTAGACTTTTCTCCTGGGCGATGCAGAGGGTTCACGGGGTGCCTGAGTGTCTGTTGAAGCAAGCCTTGGTTTGCTTTCGCTGTAGCTTGGGTTGGCTGTAAGTAGCAAGTTTGCATCACTTATCGCTGCGTCCACAATAGTATTATGATGTGAATAAGATGGATTTGCAGTCAATGCTTCTTGATTGTCTTCCTCTGCAGGGCGTTGAGGAATGGGTGGCCCCTGGTTAACCGCTGTCACAGGTGAGGGACAAAGTTCACTCTGTGATTCCGTACTGAGTAGAGCACTGTCAATCAATGCTGGAGTGGAGGTATTGTGAGTATCATTTGAGGGGTTGCTACGAGAGGTAGGTAACGTATTTGTTGCATTCTCAGGGTGACTCCTGGAACTCGTCGCTTGTTGGCTGTATTCTTCACATTTAGTTCCTGCTATGACTTCGGCATCAGTCATGCCTTGATATGAAGCTTCATTGTTGCCATGGTTTGCAAGCTGGTTGCCATCCTCTGTTTCCGAGCAGACCATTTCCTCCTGGGAAGTGCCCATGATGACAAGTTTCAGTTCCACATCTTCATAGGCACTCCTAGTGGCTGCATCAGCTATAGCTGATGACCTGGGAGTGGCATTGTTGATTGGTTCCATGCCTCCTGGGATTGGTGGCAGCTGTACTTGCCCAGGCCTTGAGGTCTGCAATGTCTCGGTGTTGATGTAACAGTACACGTGTTCCGCTGGCGTTGACGAAGCCTTGCCACTGGTTCTACTCAAATTCATTCTCTTGCGATGGAGGAGCAAGATTGTGATCACAAGCAGGGCAATGGTCCCTAGAATCCCGGTAGGAATGCCAATGGCAATGATAGAGATGGATTCACTACTTGATGCAACGCTGTCATTTTGATCTGTAGATGATATTGTGGAACTGGTAGGCAACGCTGCAAGAAAAGAAGGGGAAAAGGACAAAAGCTAAGGCAACGAACAGTAGGCTGAACAAACATACAATCTCCCTGCAACAAATTGAACTTATATTAAAGTGCAACTCCTACTATTTTTCGAACATCTGGGCAGAAACCCTCCACTAGGTCATACATATACATTTTACGGCGCATTCGTACACATGGTTCTGTTGTACAATACTGTCTTGTATAAAAATAACAGTTTATGACTGTGTCAACCGCTTTCTTAACTTCCTTTTTGGCCGCGTTACCAATGTGTGGTGAACGTTGTATATCCTTGAGTGACCGTTGTATATCCTTATTGACTTCTTTTTCCTTGGTGCAAGTCACACTCCATGTATGTTCTTCATTATCTTTCTTTACCTTTCCTGGGTCTTCACATTGTCTATAGCCTCATGTTTTAACTTTTCTTTTTCCTTTTTGCCTCATCGGCGCTCTTTGAATTTGTGTGTCAACACTGTTGAGTTGTTCGATGTTATAAATACTACTACTACTGCTGCACTTTCGTAATGAGGGTGAAGGGTGTCCTTTTTATGAGTATTATTACTACTACTACTGCTGCTGCTGCTGCTGCTACTACTACTACTAGTACTGTACACATGCCAAATTTCTCCTTGCCGTGCTGCTAACTACTGGCAAAAGTGTGCCACACCGCAAGGGCAGAGCCAAGAGACATTCATGTAAGTAAGCAGTGGAACGAGGCTGAAATTTGTTGTTATTCTTCACTTTGACGGCAATCAGGCCAATCTTCAGACAACAACATACTTCATTGCAAACTACTTGATAATGTCCGCGATACATCGACGGTAGAAGCAAATGAAACAAGTTTTACAAAGGGTGGGGGGGGGGGTCAAGGCTATGTCTTCATTTTGACTCATTGCAAGCTTTGTTGTCGTAAAGGACGAAACCGTTCTGTCCGCAGGTTGAGTGTAGTGCATGTACTGTACATGTACAGTGCTGGCCAGAGAAATCCAACCTCATGAATAAAGTTGTGCCACGATCGAGTGTACAGACCAGTAAGTGCAGTGCTGGAGCTGCGTAGTGCCAGCTGCTATTATATCCATAAGGTTGGATTTCTTTGGCTAGCACTGTACTAGTTGTAGTTGTCCTCAATACTTACATGTACATACACATTGTACAGGTCTAACTTACCTATGCACTGATCTCCGGTATACCCAGTCAAACATGGGCATTCATAAGATCCATATGTATTCGTACAATGTCTGTTGTCTGGATTGATGGTCTGATTGCAGGTACTAACACCACTACTACATTCATCTATATCTGCAAGAAGAGAGGTAAGTACTTCTATTCAACATGATATTCAGGCCGGTCCACCTGAGGTGTCGCGGATGCCTTTTTTACACTGAAAATCTTTGTAACCATGCCGAAATGTATGCGTAAGTTGATGTATCATACAGGGCTCGAGATGAAGGACTTTTCAGGACAGTTGGTCAATTAGTGAAACTGAAACAAATTTGTAATGGAACAAGGCTATAATCTTTGCTTCAACTCATTGCAAGCTTATGTAGTACATGTACAATCATGTACATCAGTGTCTGCTCCAGAGCCCTATCAGCTGGGTCAGCGCCCCGGTTGGGTGGTGTGTGTGTGGGGGGGGGGGGGGGGTACTTGGACCCGTCTGGAAAAAGAACACTGGGCCACGTGTGACCTGGTTGGGAGACATGTCGAGTACTTTTTATTCTTCAAGAAGCTACAGACACTGATATGACAGGCTGCAGCTAGTGCAGGCGCGTGCAGACAGAGTGCCCAGTGGCAGCAGTATGATCATCAGGGAGTCAATAATACTCTGCGGCACCATGAGGAGCAGTGGCAGCTTTTGAGCGTCCCCAGTACCCGGCTCTGACCCGGTTGCAAGAGTTGTGCCAGGCACACGTGTACCCGGTAGGTTTAAAATCCTAGAGCAGACACTGGCACTGCATGTAGTCGAGCTCAAGACCAAATTACATATTGTACAGGTCTGACTTACCTATGCACTGATCTCCAGTGTATCCAGTCAAACATGGGCATTCATAAGATCCATTTGTATTCGTACAATGTCTGTTGTCCGGGTTGATAGTCTGATTGCAGGTACTAACACCACTACTGCATTCATCTATATCTGCAAGAAGATAGGTAAGTACTAGAGTTAGGTGCCTCTTCCCGTACAATGTACACCCTTTTCCAAGCTAGCCTGGATGTACCCTCGTACTCACCTTTTGACACCTTTCGTTCCGTTGGCTTGGGTAGCTACTTGCACGCTCATGTTTGCGATAGCTACCCAGGCCCTTTATATTGCCGCCCTCGCTCGATCTCTCTCCCTCTTCCACAATGTAGTCGTTTCGTTCGTCTTCGTTTCCGTCTCTTCGTGGTCTATAACAAAATGTAATGTCGTTCCACATACCCGTTCCCGTTGTGTCTGGGGAGTATGATATCCTCTTCGTACTCAACACTTGTATTAAACATTGGTTCAGGAAAGTGGGTCTATTTAAGCTGTGGTTGCGTTTAAAACACAGGTACGACGGATAGGTAAGTATTGTGCGTCAGTGAATACCGCCTTAGTATGAGACCACCAGGCCAATTGGTTTTTACATTTATACCTGGAGAACCAAGGCAATCTTTGCCATGCATTTGAAGCCCAATATGAACAAAGCCAAGTCTTCTTGTACTGTCATGGACATGGAAATTCAGTCGGAGGTCAAGCGGCCCCAACCGCTGGCCATGCAGCCGTGAGAACACATACGTGTACGGTAGTACCTGTGAATGACATCACCTCACTGCATGCTAGCAGGCATCTGGAGAATTCAGCTCAACCCTTCATCGCATGCAACGTTCTGTAGGCACTGAGGGTGCCCGTCCCAGTCATTCGACCGGATTTCCAAGTTCACGACAGCGGCTGTAACGATCCATTGTAGCATGGTATGAACATGAAACAGCCATGGCTAGGTATTGCAAACTTAGCAGTCACCAGTGCCACAATGGGACACTGTTTGTGGAGAAATACTAGGATACGGGATATGTCATACCTTTGCATGCACAGCCCAAGACAGCATTTTTTGCATCAGCACGGATTCCAGGGCCTTTGCGTTAGTATGGATTCGAGGGTATTTGCACCAGTACGGATCTTAGGTTCTTTGCATCAGTATGGGTTCCAGGATCTGTGCATCAGTATGGGTTCCAGCGTCTTTGTATGTCTATCATACTAGCATCACTTACCATCGCATTCTGCACCGGTATAACCAGGTAGACATGGGCACTGGTAAGATCCGTTCAAATTCTGGCAGTGCCTGTTGTCACTATTGGTCATTTTGTTGCAGCTGTGATTACCGGATACACACTCATCTATATCTGTGTGTACCAGCAGTGTGAATCAACAATGTAGATTAGAGTGAGCAATTATGCAGTACAAACGCAATCATAGGCATGCAGTCGCATACCACGATAACCCTACAAAGCACACAAAGCAAGTTAGTGATGCCCTGTGTGTGTACGTAGAACTCCTGCATAAGTACAACAGTCCGGCACTCACCAGAGAAACCCAACCTCGTGAATTCAATAATGCCGACGCTACACAGCCCTAGCACTACACAAACCATTATGTGCACCCAACCGTAGCTCTTGCCAGAACTGTACTGTGATCCGATGCAGATTCCCAGAAAATATACTCTTTCGATTCGCTTAATGTCCTGTATGTATCACGATCAACAGGATGACAATTCAAACTCGTACTTGTTCTACAGGGCAGCCCTTGGGCGGATAATACTGAATATGGAACTTTTCCGGTATGTTCCATGTATGTTTTGTACATGTATAATTATGGATAAGGGTGAGGAGGAGAACTTGAGGAGTTATCCGCCATTAGCTTTGTTCAGTTCTACCAATTTCACTGGTTTCCAAGCCGAACCTGTGAGCATTATCTGCCAAGGCCCAGTGCAGAGTCAAGCTGATCCACCTGCACATACATACAGGAGGCCCATTTCATCCAGCCATAGTGACCAAAAAATTCAGTTCTTAAGCAAGAATTGTGAAACAAACGTCAGACGGTGAGCCAGGCACGGCACAGCTCCTTTCATGCATTATTACATCAAAGCAAAATACAACAACATTGCATTCATGAGGTAATCGAATGGTATAGCACATGCCGGGACACTCTTTAAGGACAATGTACGTGTATTGTGCCTTTCTAGCTACTATCCTTCAACACAATAACGGTACCCCTACTCCACCTCCCTGGTAAATTCTCCTATAAAGCAAGCAGGTGTAGTTTGCTGGTGTCCATATACATCTAGCCATGCCTTTGAAAATACCAAAAACAGCTCCGTCGCTCTTGAGCTGTTTCTAGTATACCCTCCATCACACCTCCACCCTCCACACCCCCCCCCCCCCACCGCTTCCCAACCCCCCCCCCCCCCCCCCAGATTCCCACCCCAACCCTCAATATCACTCTCGCACTAACCTATGCAGGCCAACCCCGTGTATCCAGCCACACAAGGACAGCTGTGCGATCCAGCAGTGTTCACACATTGTCTCTTATCCGGGTTGACTACCGCGTCACAGGAGTGAGTACCTGTGCTGCACTCATTGATATCTGCAGTAGAATACCGGCAATGGCAACAGCACGGACAACAGCAACGGATACAAGGAAATACCGGCAATGGCAACAGCACGGACAACAGCAACGGATACAAGGAAACAATATGTTGGACACTGGCAAACAGCAACAGATACCAGGAAACAAAATGTTGGGCACTGGCAAACAGCAACAAATACAAGGAAACAAAATGTTGGACACTGGCAATGGCAACACTGCAACCAGCAATGGATACAGGGAAACTCATCATGGACACTGGCAATGAGGATGACATAATCCACAGCAGCGACAGTGACGACCACTCTGACAACAACAATCCTCACATTAATTGGTATTGCTTCGAAGTTAAATGCCTTATGTCTGCCATCTCACTGACACTACACCGGCGTCTCACACTCCCCGAGTCATACAGATCCAAACTATAAAGGCATCTCGACCATGAAGCATGACCAGGGGCGTAGGAAGCAGTTTAATATTGGTGCGGCGAAATTGTGAGAGGGGGTCGGGGGGTCCTCCCCCGGGATTTTTTTTGAAAATTGGGCCTAAAAAAATTTGGAAAAATTGGGCCTAAAAGGCATATTCCTATGAGAAATAAGAATATGCATGCTGATGATACACCGCATTGTCGATGTAAAACATGGTTCCTGTACAAGAGTCGACAAGCCATCAACAAGGTTGAAGTGTAAAAAAAATTCGAAAATTATTGGTCCGGCGACCGCCGGGCTTGCCGAACCGGTTCCTACGCCCATGATGACAATGATACAGTGTTGAAGCTACATGACAGGCTTGAGGAGAAGGACGAGCAAGAGAAGTGGAATATAGCTCAGGAAAGATAATTACGCACTACATTCGATCATGTATCTTGCTCAGTCAGGCTAGCTTCAACAGTATTCCTATCACTCGGCTAAATGTGTTATTACAACGCCCGACATCTTCTTACTGGTGCTCTTGAAAGACCTGAATTCATGGCATTTCTGCATTTTTACAGTCAACTTCGCTAATAACGACTGCGGATATAACGACAATTCGCGAATAGCGACAGAATTTCCAGGCCCAGAGCAAAGTCCCATCCCACTGTAATACATGAGACTTCGGATATAACGACACTTCGCGAATAAGGACACTTTTTTGATGCCTCGCCGAGTGTCGTTATAAGCGAAGTTGACTGCATATAAATCACACCGCATTGTGCTGCGATGGAGATTCTTCTTCATCTCTGATATACACCCGGACTTTATGGATATTAAATCCACATTAACAGTCAGATCTGCTTTGATCACCACTACGAGCAAGGAGAACATTTCTTCGTTGAAATGGGCTAAATCATACTTGATTATACAGATTCATTGTTTGGGTCCTGATAATATTATTATGATCGGTATCTAGAGACACAGAGTCTCAGGACAAGGATGGTTATGCCATACTTCACTGCATTTTTTGGAAAGATAAAAGTGGAAATCGGCGGTATCACATTGCAGTGGTTCTTCATTATATCGGCGAGATTAATCACTGCACATTCTCATTTCAGGCCACCCGGCTTCGAATTTGGCACATATTCCCCATGGAGTATGTACGTACTGTAAAAGTACTAATTTTCGTTCACGAAATCTTTCGTTATTTCACTCCACCAGCATGCTTGTAACGTACTAAATTTCGTTTTTGGTCGAGGTCTGTCACCCCGAACGTTCAGAATTTTTTTTACTTATTTCGTGCCCCCTAACGAATATACCAGGCAGGCACAGTGGGTTGGTCAAAGACCATGATTGAGATACGAGAGGTACCTGGTTCAAGTCCTGCCTGGGAGCGGTTTTTCCAGCCGTGCTGCTACCCACAGTCAACTGGGAACTTGTGGCCAGGCACAAGGGGTACATGGATGCAGCTAATGGGGTCGTTTTCGGCACTTGTGCCAGTGGTTGTGAGACTTGCCCACTCACCCCCCCCCCCCGTTAGGCGCTGCATCTGCCGCTAGGGTTTATCGGGTGTTAGCGGCCGTCGTGAGTTCCCTTCGGGAACGGACACGATAATTTACTTTTTTTACTTTACTTTTAACGAATATAGCGAAAGTTAATTCCAAACAAAAACGTGTACTTATACAGTATAACCCATAACCGTTTTGGTGGTAGGGGCACCATGTGTGTCATAAGGCAGCCGGATCAAAAGAACATAAAAATAAAAAAAGGAAAAGAAAACCAACTACTTGCAAGTACACTGATAAACAAGCTGCCTATACCTATCACGATCAGCAGCAACGGGAGATAGAGAATGGTGTACTGTTGTTATCACACAGCAACCGTGTGAACACTCACCCGTACACATTGCACCGGTGTATCCATGTAGACACAAGCACCTGTAGGAACCTTGAGTGTTCTCACACAGTCTTCTTCTTGCAGGATTGCTGCAGGAGTGTGTACGTGCTTCACACTCATTGAGGTCTGCATGCCCAGCAGGCAAAACAGGAAGGTAATGCAGTAAGCCAGTTGCTTTAATAATACATTCAACAGCAATATCCATGCATGTAACTCATGGTTGAACCTTGTGCTTGATATTTCTCCCTTAATATGCTCATTTCAGTTATTCTTGGCTCATGTATTATAATTAGTGCTCTGCTGGTGATGTGAATAGCATTACTATGAGAATCCAATTCATTGCCTATACAATGAGACCTGTTCAGGACCTGCTGGAGAGCCGGGTCAGCCGGGTCACGCGCCCGGCTGGGGAACTGCACGACCTGGCTGAACGTATAACACCGGATCCAGTCTGACCCGGCTGAAAAATGTCTCAAACTGACAATGGATTCCTAAAATACCGGTATTTTACGACTCACGGACCCATCATTTGCAAATCTAGCGCAACCGTACACACTACAGTCTACAAGCGACAGAAACTCGGCTACATTGCCATTGGTAGGGTCAACTGGGGTCAACTGGTTCGAGCGCGATTTAGCCAGCGGCGAGCAGGAAGTCAGGACATTCAAAGTCGATGGTTTGGGCAGCCAGTCAAAAGCGTAACTGTGGCTATAGCTTTTGACACAGTTGCAAGTTTTCAGCCGACTGGTGATTTGGACGATGGAGCCCACAGCGAAGAGAAAAAGAACTCACGCTTTCCAAGAATACTGAAATAAAGATTATTAAAGATATATCAAGACTCTTGGAAGAAAGGTCGACCCTGGCTGGACTACGACCATGCCTGTCTATCCATGTCATTCGCTTTGTGCAAGATGTATTTCCAAAGGAAGAGGAGCGGTGGTGGATTTGGTCGCGATGCGTGGTTGAAAGGTAAGAACTCACTGCTTCCAATTATCGGCATGCTGCTCGGCTCCTGGATGCTGCAGGCACCCCCCCCCCCCCCCCCCCAGTGCTCTATTATGTGAACATGTTCGTCCTGCTACTAGCACTAATTGCGGACTTTGATAGCTCGCCTTGTTCTCTAAAATTTCCGGTAATAAATTCGCCTTTCTATTTTCCTGCGTTTTGAGCAGGCTTTTTGGTTGTTTTTCTGCCGGATGTTCTGACCCGGTTTGACCCGGTTGGCCTGCATGCGCCAGGTACACTCTGACCAGGCTGTGTTGAATGTCTACAGCAGGCCCTGCTGTTGGCAGTGTCGAAATATCAACGAAATCTTACTCATTATAGTGATAATGTACTGGTGAGGTGGGTCAACCGAGCGAGTTTTGGAAAGTGGAGGAGTGGCTGATTTTCATATACTAGGGGTAGCGGTGGGGGCAAGTGTGTGTAGAGGGGACGGCCGGGGGGGGGGGGGGGGGGGGGGGGGGTGGCCGGCATCATTTGACACTGACCTGAACATGATGATCCAGTTCCAGTATATCCAGCATTGCATCTACAGTTGAAGCTGCCTGCAATGTTAGTGCACGTTGCATTACTATCACAATTGTGAGTTCCAGATGCACATTCGTCATTGTCTGCATTGGAGATTGGGATGGGGTGTGTGTGTGGGGGGGAGGGGGGGGGGGGGGAGTTGGTACACAGAGCTGACATCAGTTGATACCTCAGTTGATTCCTAAAATCAGACCCAAATGTTGCCATTCACAGCCCCAGGAAACTGGATATGAGAACCAGTCGTATAGATGCGTCAGGGTCATTTGACAGAAAGCTGGGCAGGTTTCACTCACTGTGACTGCAACTGAAGATCAAAATATTGGAAATGATACGCAGCATTTAGAGTAGGTTGATTGAAGAGAACAAGTTCAATGCCGCCCAGGAAAGCTCTGGCTGTTGAATATTTATGCTAACACTTACCTTTACAAATGCTAGGAGAAGTCTGAGTATATCCACTGGAGCAGGGACATGTGTAGCTGCCTGCTATATTGCTGCAGTATGAGTTAGGATGGCAGCTGAAACCACCTGGTATTGCACACTCATTCGCGTCTGCATGCATGAACAAACGTATACACATAGAACAATCAGGCTTGCAGACATTCCACTTAGGTTATGCACATATGAAGTGGATTGGAATGGGGAAGCACACACTGCCCATGTGTACATAGCAGAATTTAATCACCATCCCCTGACCTTAGCTATGTAACCTCAGTGCCAAATTGACAGATTTCCAGCTGCGTTTGTCACAAAACAGCTCTCGGATTTCGACATTTGGAGAAGATCGTGTAATGGTTCGCTGTTCTAGAGATCACACTACGATCAGATTGGCTATTTTGGAAGAACTCTGAAAATAACTCCGGTACCTGTAAAATAATTCACAGGGTACCGGGGTCCATTCTAGATTCCACGTTTATTGGCATTACCCTGAAGAATAAGTTGACTCCCTGATATCAAAGTCCAATGGGAGAAGGCGAAAAGGGGGGGGGGATAGACTGTAGATACGTGGATAGACTGCATGGGTGAATCCACAGACAGAGTGGAGCTAACTAAGCCAACCGAATGACAGCATGGGAGAGGGATGGAGAGGGAGTGAGATAAAGTGGAATAAAAGATGGAGATAGAAAGAGGGATGGAGACAGGTTTGGGGCTGGAGGGGGGGGGGGGGTAGAGATTTACAAAAAGAAGACTGATACATGAAGGGGAGGGGAGGGGAGGGGGGGGGGGAGTAACTAAATGAATGTAATGAAGTACACTGCTTCCCTCTCATCAGCTACACGAGGCAGTCTACGTACCTGAACATGATGATCCAGTTCCAGTATATCCAGCATTGCATCTGCAGTTGAAGCTGCCTGCAATGTTAGTGCACGTTGCATTACTATCACAATTGTGAGTTCCAGATGCACATTCGTCATTGTCTGCATTGGAGAAGGGAGTGAGGGACAGTGGATTGCTAAAACCAGCAAAAAATGAAATTAGGTTTCCGATAACCTGGCTGTGAGGACCAGCGGTATACTAGAAAGCGGGAAACTGTGGGACCTGGAAACTAGCCTTATTGATATGATGGGTGCGTGTACAAGTAAACTGGTGCCATGGCTAGAAATAGTCAAGGAAAGGTGACACTTGATAAAGAATCGCAAACATTTCCAGGTTCAAATTGGTTTGTGCTTGTAAATTGCAAATTAAGACCAGTGCAAATAATTCCAGGATAACACTTTCAATCAGAGTTTGTTGATCAAAGCAAGGTCAGCTTTCAACGAAATTTAAAAAATTCTATCTCTTGGACAAGGTGGTAGCCATAAGTAGTAAATCACTGTCCTCACAACTGTGAAGGGTCAGCTGCTTGACAAGACAGATGCCAATGTTCTCACAGGAAGTTCTCCATAGTCGAGTGGTTTGCTTCACTGTCCGAAGAGTGCTCAGTACCCATGTAGGGCAGAGCCTTTGTACACAAGAGAGAGAGATTGGAAGCTGTGTTACAACTCTGAGTTTCTCGTACTCCTACGGGTTGCCTGATAGTCGTAGTAATACGTGAAACTCAGAGTTGTAACAAAGCTTCCAATGTCTCTCTCTCTTGTGTGGAAGTTCTCCATAACATTTTGAGCCGGATACATACACAATACTGAGCATAGTGGAACTGTAATGAGCAACAACACACTGGGTCTAACCTGTGCATATCCTGCGGGCAGTCTCAGTATAGCCACTGTCACAGCTACACGCATAGCTGCCTGCAGTGTTCTTGCAGGAGGAGTGAGCGTGGCAGTTGAAGCCACCCGCTATTCCACACTCATTCACATCTCCACACGCGTAAAAAGAAGAAGCAAAGTACACAGAGGACATACCAGATCACTGAATTGATTTCCTATACATAGGAAATCAACTGGTGGTATGGCTGATCAGTGTATGGTGTTATGCTGGTTTGTGTATACCGCAAATCAACTAATTTTCGCTGGCGATTTAATTTCCCTAATTTCGCCACTTGGTGCCAACCGGCCAAAGTAAATCGCCGGCAAATTTTGTCATAGAGGCAAACGATACAAGATTGAACCCCAATCGGCCAAAGTTTGAGCACGGCCAAAAGGTTCATTTCGAGATCGACCAAAGTTTCTCTCTCACCGGCCAAAATTGGTTTACTTACAGCAATACACCCGTATGATACATTCGTAGTAAAAGCCCATGTATAGGCCCCTAGCGTATAGAATAGCAGCCTCGATTTTCTGGGCGTATACAAGGGCTCGGGCGTTATTTTGGAACCGGGCGTTTACTTGGAATAGGGATAGCAGTAATTATTGGGTATCAGCACTTGTACATGTACTGGTGTTGACGGCATACCTGCGCGTATACATGGGCATGGACGCTATTTTGAAACAAAACTGTTGACTTCCCCTGACTGGGCGTGTCCACGGAGGGTGGGTGTAATTTCGAGTGGGTGTATACAGGGGCTTTTACGGTATAATGACTCGAAATCAAGTTCTTCATGTTTCCCCATGAAATGACATGACACAAAGTTGTCCGGAGTTAGACCAGCAAGCTGACGTAGCATTGACAAAAAGTTGATGACCACCTGTCGATCCTTGCCAGTCTATGTCGAATGGACATATGCCACCATGGAAACCACCTCACACATGTACCCATGTTACCAGTATGCCACTACAGCAGTGTATGAACTATGCAGCATGCAATTTCACAGTATGTGTGGTTTGGTCACACAATGCACTGCTGCTTGTGTGTGCATCAAGGCTACGGGCAGCACTGCATCGTGCCTGGGTGTAACCCATCATAATAACCTGATGCCGGGTCAATAGAACCTGGGTTAGATTACCAACGTTTGATCTTCCACTGTAAAATGCCGATTGGTCATCTGCTAGACAACAAAGTCGCCATTCTAAAGTGCAACGTGCATGTAGTGACCACAACCAGAAGAAACCAACTGTCCCATGATACATGCTCTCGAATGAAACCATCTGTGCAATTAGGCTCGTCATGGCAGCACACACACACACACACACACACACACACACACACACATACACACACACACACACACATCATGTCGTAACATACGGTTTAGCCTGTGCTGGATGAGTACAAGCACATGTCCATCACAACCAGACTACACAGTACACAGTACAGCATAGGATAACACCTATACACAGTACAGCATAGGATAACACCTATACACAGGATCAACTGAACATGTAAACCACATCACATGAGCCGTACCTTCACATCGATGTGTCGCAGCATTTTCAGCATAGCCAGGAACACACGAACATTGATATGAGCCAAAAAGGTTCACACAATGCGTTGATGACGAGTCGGGGAACACACCACAAGCCGCGCATGGGCCAGATTTTCCACAACATTGCCTTCTGCCTTGGCCCGTGCTGCACGCTGATGCCGAGAAACACTCGTTGGTGTCTGAAATATCAACATGCATAGCCCAAAGGCAGGTTTGCATATTCATCCCCCAACTACCCTCTAGGATCAATAATTGTAAAGCATGGGATATTATCAATAGCTAAGTTACAACTCATTCATGCTGAAATTAAAGCATGAAGGGTGTTCAGCTTGACTTTGTGTGGGTACCAACCAAGATCTTGAAAACTTGATTTGATAGTTTCACCCTGAGGATGGGCAATTTCTGAAGGCTTGACGAGACAAATGTCTGGAGAGATGATCCGCAAACAGACAACATCCCACTGTTCGGACTAATAGTATGTTACATACTCTGAATAATATAGCTGCATCGGACGCATCTGTTGGTTACCTAACTTATTGTTGTCGTACTGCATTTACCATTGTTAGGTTGCTTCACACTTTCACCTTCAGTGTCATTCTTTCTATGTGCGTTGGTCACACATTTATTCTTATTGTTGTTGTCTTCAGCATAATTATCTTCTTTGCGCTACTAGTGCTCTATCACCTCTCTGCTATACTTAATTCAGTGTTGTGTTGTGTTATCTTTATTTTACTTCACCATAGGTACAGGCATTGCTGCCTTCTTTGTTCTTGCTCCTTTGCTCTTCTTGGCTGTATATCAACTGGTTAGATGGCATGGACCTTTATTCCTGAAAATGTTGTGGAAGATCCTAATATGTGGGCTCCTACTGAGTATAATAATACTAAGTACCCAATGCTGTAGACAGCAAGCTAAGTATTATACTTTTAAAATCTGCGGACAGAACTGTTTCGCCCTTTGTGGACTCATCAGCGCAGCACAGAGATATAACGCAAACAGGAAAGGCACTACCCAACATGAGAGTGCTCAAATACTACAAGAGCAGGAGCAAAATACTCAATCTGCGGAGAGAACTGTTTCGTCCTTTGTGGACTCATCAGCGTAGCACAGAGAAAATGAGGCCGAACCGGGTAGCAATGAAAAATAGATTTTCCAAAGCCAGATCTAAACCAGGCCCGAACGTACCTTGCCAGGGTGCTCAAACAGAAAAGTCAATGAGCTCTGCATAACGCAAACAGGAAAGATACTACCCCACATGAGAGTGCTCAACTACTACAAGAGCAGGAGTGAAATACTCAATCTGCAGAGAGAACTACTTCGAAGTAAGTATTACAGCGTCTGAGCAGGATCTATGGTCTGTGGGCACATAACAACAACAAAAAAAGAACCGCGAAAGCTCAGAAGTTTCAGGTTCATAGATTGAGCGAGCACACCTGCCGGCAAAACTTCCAGTCCCAACTCACCCATCGGATCGCCAACGGCGCAGTAGACACATCCACACCGGAAGCACACTGGACATCGATCTCGTCTTTCATCCAGCAAACGGCAAAGAATACCATTGGACTGGCACAGCCCCCAAAGAAGCAACAGCGTTTCATGGATGATCAGCTACATTCCTGGTCGGAAGAGAAAAAACGGTTACGACTGCTGATAACTACAAGTAGGGATCCACAGCAAGTGGCTGATCTGAAGCATCGGCGGAACACCCTCTCACACCGAATCCGGCTGCGAGCAAAGGAACTAGCATCGAATGAGCTGGACGCTCGGGCGAGGGAAGTAGAAGCAAAGAAGGATACAGCACAGATGTTTCATGCAGTCCATCTACTCCAGCGACAAAAACAACAGCCTATCACTGTGCATGATGAAGCGGGTAGACAAGTAATACAGCCAGTCTCAGTAGCCATCCAAATCACCGACCACTTTTCTAAGCTGTACACACCGGAGCCTGGTGCACTGTTGCTGCGGCGACCGGGCCTTGCCGACCAGGATTGCGCTATTCAGTACCGCCGGCTTGAGCGGCCCATTTCTGAGGCAGAGGTGACACAGGCAGCTGGAAAGTTGAACAATGGCAGGTCAAGTGGCCCAGATAACATGCCAGGGGAGCTGCTAAAGTACTCACCTGCCCTCGTCTACTCCAATATCGCCCAGGTCCTCAACTCTGCCATCGAGACAGGCCTGCCCCTGAACAGCATCGGTAGTGGGTCGCTTATTCCGTTACAAAAGCCTGGCAAATCAAGGGGACCAGTCGCTCACCTACGGCCCGTGGTTTTACTCACAGCGCTCAGGAAGATTCTATCATTGATTGTGCTGCGGAGGATCAACAAGGACGTCAACAACTTCGTTGCACACACACAGAGTGGTTTCCGCCCCAGCAGAAGCACCACAGATGTTGTGTGGTCATACCGATGGTTGGCGGCTCGATGCCAACGTTATCGCTGTGCGCTGGATATCCTAGGCATTGATATGTCAAAAGCGTTTGACTGTATAAGCAGGCCACGGCTCATCTCGGTGCTGGGATCGTTCTTGCAGCCGGATGAAATCCGAATGATCAGTTACCTCCTCCAGGACACCGTACTGCGGGTTGTACTCCCATCCGCTAAGGGCCCGTCATTCCCCACTCTCCGCGGCACACCCCAAGGTGACTCGTTGTCTCCTGTTCTTTTCATTGTGTACCTTGAGGGTGCGCTGCGTGATGTCCGGCCTCTTCTTCTACCACGTCCCCCTGCCGATATCTCCCTGGGGTTACCAACTGAAACTGCCTACGCCGACGATGTGGATTTCGTGACTACTGATGGTGAGAGGCTGAGGACCCTCCTTCCAACCATATCCAACAAGCTCCTCGAATGGGATTTGAAAGTGAATGAGACCAAAACAGAGCACACGCACATCGAACGGCACACTGATCGCATCGAGGAGGAGTGGCGAACCACCAAGAAACTCGGGTCCCTATTAGGTGATGCCGAGGATATGCTACGGCGACAGCAACTGGCAACTGTTGCCTTTGGTAAACTCTGGACGCTGTGGATCCGTAGGTCGCTAGTTTCGGAGGATCTCCGCATCCGGCTCTATAATGCCTTTGTACTCCCTGTACTCTGCTACAATTGTGCAACATGGGCACCAACGAAACAGCAGCTGAGCCGTATTGAGGCCTTCCACCGAAAACAGCTGCGGGCGCTAATCGGCATTGTGTTCCCGAATCGGATTAGGAACGAGAGGCTCTATGAGCGTACCGGCGCGGTTCCTCTCGGCATTATCATCTTGAGAGCTAGGTGGAGGCTCTTTGGGCACGTCCTCCGGCTCCCGGCTGACTCCCCACCATCACTGGCCATGGGAGCGTACTTCGCAGAGCCTCGCCCAGCGGGCTGGAGGGGACGACCAAGACACACACTACCAACGCTACTACAAGATGATGCCAAGCGGATTGGACTTTCCTTGTCAAGCAAAGTCGATCTGGAGGCGTTCCGTGCCCTTGCTGCTGACCGAAGCGGTTGGGTGGCCATCTGTGCCCGAGTGGTGTCGGCACCCTAGTTTTTGTCTTCTTTTCGCATATTTCTTCTTTTTCTGAAACTGTTATGGTCTTTTGTATCTATTCGAAGTGGCTTATGCGAACATTTTTGGCTGGTTTGCATGATTTGCATGCCCATTAATGCAGCTGCAGGCCATGCTGATGTCTACGCGAACAAGCACATAATAATATAAATAAAAATTACAGCATTTTTTTTGTGTCTGAGGAATCTTTCTAGCTGCAATAGAATTTGCGAATGCTCAGAAAGGTTTACCCGGTATGGAATACTTGCATTGTTTCCTCACCTGTTGCTTGCAGTTTTGTGAGCGTCAATGAGTCGGTAAACCTTGCTAGTTGGCAGGATCTCCCTGAGGTCTGCTTAAAGTAGATGCTCACTTGAAAGCGCTTGCGTGAATGAACATTCAATGTAGCCTCCGTGTGGGTAGAAGTTTTCCTTTCAACAAGACTAACCGGTGAGAATGTACCCCAAGGGCTATAGTACGAATAAGCGGTCCGCCATGCCGACCTTACACTGCATCCACTGGTCGTGATGTAGGAGATACCTCGGACTTGGACAGCACAATCTAGTCCGAACTCATACCTGGATTGAACTTCTGATGTGACTGCCAGGGTTAATGACCGAAAAGGCCCCTTCCAGAACTCGTAGTAGAGTTGTCCCCGAGAGGTGGTGAATGTACGATTGGCGCTGGCTAGATCACACTGGGGGTTGCACTTGGCTGGTGTCCCCAGTAGAAGCTGGGTGAGCACCAGTAGAGCAATACTAGCAAGAACATGCATGACCATGTCTCACTGTAGCACACAGAAGGAGAAGAGAGAACAGCAATGTGTCTGAAACAAGTGAAAAGGTGGATGACATATGGCAAAGCCAGAGTCCCGCAGTCATCAATAGTTGTTTATGTGTCCGAGGGAGTGCTTGCTTGTGTGTGTGTGTGTGTGTGTGTGTGTGTGTTTATGTGTATGTGTGTGTGTATGTGTGTGTGTGTGTCCCATAGTTTGGGGATTTGGGATGTCAGCCGTTGGGCAGTTCAGCAGCCAATTGAGTCACCTTTCCAAGATCCCTTTCGAGTCTCTCTTTCTTCTTTCCCTCCCGGGGAGACCCACGCAACCAGTTTTGGCAGTGAGCAAGTACATTCCAGTACATTATGTGTGCATGTGAGTCCTTGTAATTTTGTATTTTCATTCCTTTCATTTGCTGCCGTGGAAAAATCGAGAGTCCGGGATAGCAGTCACGCAGCGGCCTCGCTGCCATGATGTCAGTCTCCCTCACTAGACCAGATATATATACGCAAGCGCAACAAATCTTTTTCTCTTTCTTAAACAAACAACTACAGTTAGACATAGTTGTCTTCTTCTCCCTTGGAGTTGTAAGTCTTTACACCCCAGGGTGGTATGTCCCGGGAATCATCTGTCATCACGTTTACAGATACGACCTCTGCTACCTTGCCTGCCTAAAGTTCTAGCACTTACTGCCCCGGGAGGCCTCTAGCTGGTTGGCCTTAACAACGTAGGCTGGAATCCCGGCTCGTGCAGCCTGTGCACGAGTCGTGGCGTGCGGCCAAGTGGCACTAGCTAGGACACATCATTAGTGCTGCCACACAGGTCTCAGGTAGGGCAGCCAGTGTACTGTACTCGTACCTAAGTCGTTATGCCATAGCTTAGATATTTACATGATTGTATTTCCAACGGTTTCTGTTGGTACGTTGCGGTGACAGTAAATTTTGCTCAGAGGTTGTCTCCCTCGGGCCTTTCTGATCTTTTTGGATGGGACATGAAAGAATACGAGTGACAGTCGTACGGACAATTTCGGGTTGCTTTCCTATTCCTCACCATGGGATATCCTGGTTACCGGTACTAGGTACTGGAGCATCCACATTTGAAACACAACGAGGCGTTTTCCAGTGAGACAAAGTTCACGGTTTGCGTTACACTCAAGTCGGACTGAGTTTTCTGCATCTGCAGGACTGCCGGCATGCCACCGCCCTAGACGAAAGACTTGTTCTAGATATTTGCAATTTTGTTTGTGATGCCTTACCTGAGTGACACGCCACTTCAGAAGTACTCGCAATGCGGCACGGCACCAGCTGTATCCAGCATAGCAAAAACCCTTCCACAAATGAACAAGAACTGAAATTCATTGAATGCCCTCGGGTCACCGAAAGGGCGCTATTGCCTGCATGGCAAAATTTCTTCGTGGCCAGTACCCTGGTATTGCGACGAAGAAGGGCAAGACAAAAGGACGTTTTGCACAAATAATTGCAGTAGGTTGCTCGTGAAGACTGAAGTGAAGTCTGAAGTGAATGAATGCATCAGGATCACTGCGCTGAGGCAAACCATCAAGACTAGTGTACAAACCTGGTTATGTACTCTTGACTCTTATCTTGAGTCTTGACTTGAGTGTTGATGCATGTACAGTCAACTTCGCTTATAACGACACTCGGCGGGGCATCAGAAAGGTGTCCTTATTCGCGAAGTGTCGTTATACCCGAAGTCTCATTATTGTATTACAGTGGGATGGGACTTCGCTCCGGGCATGGAAATTCTGTCGTTATTCGCGAATTGTCGTTATATCCGCAGTCGTTATTAGCGAAGTTGACTGTAGATCTACATGTAGACCTGCATAAGTCAGTGTTACCCGTCGTGCAGACTTTCCCAGCATACTGCTACTATTGTACTAACAGTAGTACAGTACTGCATGGTCTGTGGGCTGTGAAGCTATGAAAGGTGCGAACGTTCGTAGGGGTCTAGCTATCTATCAGACTAATGATTTAGTCTAGTTTTAGATTTCCAGCGCTGAAGCTGAATGTTGTCCGATTCACACTTTTCTTGTGAGACACGCGGCAGATGTCCATGACTGTACTAGTACAGTGAGTAGTAGGTACATTCACTCACTCACTGTCTCTGGGTGTAGATCTACTGCTACTACAGTAGTCTACTGGGCGAGTGAGACCTGGCCAGTAGCCATTACAATCATGAACACTAAAATAATGTTGGTGTACGGGGCAATGAAACCTCAAATTTGAACATACAACATGTGAGTAAGGACGTTCGTGCGATATCTAGTAACCACACCATACCGCAGATGAATGCCCTTGCGCCCATTCACACGTATGTTCCTGTTCATGAATTGCCAGCAGCTGTTTGTTTGTGGGGGTGGGGGGTCACGAAGATACTCATATCGTCAAAACCTCAGTAGACGGACGCCTGCTGAAAGCTTTGTCCACTGAACATTCCTGCTGGTACGTTCGGGCCTGATTGGAAATTTTTGTTTCCATTGCTCTCAGGTTCGGCCTCATTTCCTCTGTGCTGCGCTGACGAGTACACAACGGAAGAAACAGTTCTGTCCGCAGATTGAACATTCCTGCTAAATACATCTTCGAGTTTAGTACCTGTTCTATTGCAATTTGATGCATGCTGTCCAGAAAGCCTAGTATTGTCTTTAGTTAGTATTTCCACATTGCTGCCAGGGTGTCCTTAGCAGAGTAGAATGTGATAGGGCAAAGCAATGGCAATGAAGTATAGTATCCGGTGAACAGCAAGCACAACAGTGCAGTCTAACCAATCTGTTCAAAGTGTCAAAGTCACACTGTTCAAGCGGTGAGAAGCAGGTTGAGTTGCGAAGATATACACAGGTTTAAAGTGTAATTCAAACACTCTACCAGACCCTCTGGGCGCGAAAGCAGGATTGATAACAATTACATGATTGTATACCCTTTTGTCATGGGAATGCGCTGTCATCTTTTAGTCGTATCAACCTATCCATCCAACACTCGGAATACATGTACTGAGTAGCGACTCTTACTGCCGCGCATGCGATGAGCAACAAGTACATGATTGTACATAGTAATATATTGTATTCATATTTACTGGTAACAGCTTATGGAGAAAATTATTGATAAAAACACGAAGTACATGTACATGCACACCTAAAGAGCTCAATAGCTATAGACTACCAAACATAATCATGTAATACAGTCGTGACAAGGAAATTGTTTCTTAAGAATTACTAGTACATTCTCAAGTCCCTCATACGAACAAATTGTTTGTTTGTTTGTTTGTTTGTATTTATTTTGATTCGCAAGTTCAAACGGGCATAGAACCCAATAACATGAAAGCGAATATGAAAATCATAATGAGAATGAGAATTCAAATACTTTAATCTTCAACGTAGAGTCAGCGGTACATCAGAGGGAGATCGGATAAAATATAATTATGTGAACACAAAAACGACATCTACTGCTAGTAGTATAATTCTTACTTTGCCTGATGTTCATAGACCCGTGGTCTCTCTAGGCAGTTCTAAGTATGCATGTAAGCCGTGGTTGGCTATACAAACCCTGCAAACGCCAGGCAAAGTGGTCATTGGCTACCCCAGCCACGTATTGCTTGAAACAGACTTCAAAATAAAGCTGGTACACGTGTATGTATGTATTATACAAAATGCTTGTCAATATACAATGTAAGATGACTGGTGTCCGCAGATAACTAGTTAGATGGTATGTAAAACATAGAGTGCGCTGCAACAACTGTGCAAGTGATAAAACAGATGCAATTGTGCAGTAATCCTATATAGTTAAAGGAGTGGCAAAGACGTAGAGAGAATATCACTGGGTTCAAGATAACCATCTGCACTTTGGTTACGGGGTACTGCTGATGTTGCTCGCGAGCTTCGCTGGGGAGTGTGTAACAGACCACTGGCAGGTTCCAGGCGGACTGAGTGAGTGTCAGGCGGGCATGCCTGTGGTGGGGACTGTGGAGCGACGGGTACATGTATGTCAACGATGGTGTATGCTTCTTCAGCAGTAGCGTAGACCGCACCGGATATATCATTGGCAGAGGCACTCCGCGGTCGGTTAGTGGTATTCTGGGATGCCTTTGAAATGCTCCAGACCGTTGGAATTTGATACCTTGGTTTACTTGTGCTGCTAGCTGCTGTTTGGTCCACCATTCCATGGGCCATGGTCGAAACATCCCCCTCCACGATGTGCCCATTCCTAGCATCGTGCCGCGAGTCAGGAATCACGTGGTCGAAACACTCAGAACCGATACTGCGATAGATGAATGTTCCAGTGGGTGTTAGTGGCGTGTTATAGTGTAATTCTGACTCGGCCGGAATGCTAGCATGCTCGCGGTCAGCTGGTGTGTCTCTTAATTCATTCGTTGGAACCATTTGGGAGAGGCATTGCGCCCTCAAGCGAGGAAATCCATCTCCGTGATCGGGAGAGCAGGCGAGAACTCTGAACCCAAGTCCTGGCTGTACTCTTTCCGCATGCATTGTGTCGATATCAGCATAGATGGGTCGACTGAGGGCTGATGGAATATCGTAGTGACGTGTAGCGATAGCCGTCTCACACGTTGCAACGCCATTCAATGATTGTTCGGCCTGCCTCTCACGTGATCGCGTTAATGGGCTCAATGGTAACGAGTAAGTCTGGGCGAATTGACGGCAATGGTTGTGACTTACGTTGTTAATCTCATCGTATGCATTGCAAGACACGGCATACGGTTCATGCATCTCTGGACCGATGTGCGATATTTCAATAGTGCCTGGATGGGCTGATTCTGAATCGGGGGATGCGAACAAACGATTTCTCAATGTGGAGAGTAGATTCATTGCTCTACAAATGTAGGGACGAGACTTCGGACTCCTCTTCACTAATCTTGAGATAATGACACATGAAGTCACTAAGCACATAAATGTCAGAGTTAGCGCAATAGCGACTGCTCGCCTGGATGCAGTATGTTCAGCATTAGGAGTTTGATGGCCACCATCGGAGGTTTGCTGTTCGGAACTATATGTTGCTACAGATTGTATCCTGGTCACGTGATCTGCAGTCATACCTATTGCATCTCGCTCTGATGTAGGTGCCATCGTCGCGTCCGTATAGCCTTCATGTGCTTGCGTCGATATTTGGATTGGACGTGTGGTAGAGGCTGAAGTGAAACACAAAAAAAAGATCAGAAATATATGCATGGGTGCACAATGTGCATATCCATTTTTGTTTGATGATTGCAATGAATGGATATGTACATTGTGCATACATGCATATATTTCTGCTCTTGTAGTATAGGCAAGACACAACATGGGAGTGTTATTGGAATCGGGATGTGGTGCTATGATTTCGGTGTTGAGTGGGTAGTGCGTGGTGCGTTGCTGCACTGAAATTATGAAAAGTGTGAACAACTGTGAACATGCATGTGGGGCTGTGTTGCGCTGTGTACGAGTAATTTGAGAAGAGTTCAAAGCGCTTGTTATACATGATCACAACATACCGGGGAGAGGTACACATTTGTAGGAGCCGAAGACGTTCTGGCATGACGGAGCGAGTCCCGCACAAAGACGCAATTGCGATTTACATTCGTTTATATCTGTAAATACAAAACATGAAAACCGAATGACGCCCCAAAGTTGTCCATAACGCTACGTAGAGCAACAATACAGTGTGCTCAGAGGGTGCTCAGAGGGAAAGAAATCGTTAATATCTATGCCCCAATGGTGGAGATTAACCAGGCTCAGTCGTACTGTAGCAGTAGCATAGTTTATTATTTTTACTTGAGGATGAATCCATACCTTCTAGGAGTAGGCTTGCGTACCTATCATCAGGCAGTGAGGGTAGGTACTGGCACCACGGTGATGGTTTGATTAAAGTTGATATAGCAAGTAGTTCTGTCGAGACATTTACACTGAGGAACAGATTTCTGAGAGTGCCTCTATCATCGATAACAGTGTTCCATGGCCTCAAGTCCATAGTGGTACCTGGACCGAAGACATGGCGTAATACACGGATCGTACAGTTCCTTGAAAGTCCCACTGTCAGACGCACCACAGATAGATTACAGGATCGAAATCCCGAGAATAAAATTGTGGCATTTTTGAATTTTCGGTCAGGAGCTGGACTCCAGACTCTCACTGCTGGTGGACTGTGCCCTGAAAGAAGCTCGTGTCCCTTTATGTGTCTTCCGAAGCACATATTTGCTACTGCAGGATACGCTCCAGAGATAGCCAGGACTAGGAGGAACACAAACATAGCTGACTATGCTAGTGGAAACACAAGGTATAGGGCTTATCTTTACACATTCCTAGCTCAGGGCTTCGTTCTGCTGCAAAAGATTATAATTACACACATTAGCTGGAACACTATGGAAATACCCTGTACACAATGTATCTAGTCTTGCAATATGGCTGGCATGCTTCTGACCCGGTGTAGTGCCGCACTCATAGTGGTCTCAGACGTACAGACGCTCCCGCCTGTCGCCTCTGTCACCAACCACGTACACGTACCTTTACATTGTACTTTGCAGATCTGTGTATGACTGATTTCTGGCTTCCAGCTTTGAAAAAAGATCATCTGGTCCCTATAACATTAAAACTGGCATATTTGGTGACGTGGGCCAACCTTGCCACAGCAGATCACCCGCATAGAACGTCCACTAGCCCCTTTCACATACATGTATTACATGCACAAAAAAACAAATGACTGGACCTACATGTATCACACATACAAATCTCTCTCTCTCTCTGTCTCTATCTCTCTCTGTGTCTGTGTCTGTCTCTCTGTCTCTGTCTCTGTCTCTCTCTCTCTCTCCTGGCTCTCTCGTGGATCTCTCTCTCTCTCTCTCTCTCTCTCTCTCTCCCCCCCCCCTCTCTCTCTCTCTCTCCATCTATCTATCTCTCTCTTTCTGTCTCTCTGTCTCTCTCTCTGTCTCTCTTTCTCTCTGTCTCTGTCTCTCTCTCTCGTGGCAGCTGATCGTGACAGGTATAAAATTATACTTGCTTTCAACCTCCTCGTGACGCTTCGATTTCTCAATCCAGTTCCTCTTCAACTTTTGAAAATATTGAACATGGAATTCGTGACCTTTACTCCGTTCATTATTGCTTTGCTGGCCATGGATCTCTCGGGTGTTGAGTTACCCAGTATCTGCATCCCTAGCAGCATTGACCATGTTGACAGCTGGAATAAGTATCTATAATGGAGTAGACCAGCAAATGTGTTGTGCATGCTCGCGACTATCCGCTCTTAAGAGATGGATACCGATCACAACCAGTGGCAGCATTTCAGTTTGGCCGCACCTGTTCAATAATGATTGTCGAGCTGACTTTGGGTCATCGAGGTTGCCGTTGGGTCATCGAGGTTGCCGTATCTGCAGCCCGCTCTACTGTTGTTGTTGTTGTTGTTGTTGTTGTTGTTGTTGTTGTTGTTGTTGTTGTTGTTGTTGTTGTTGTTGTTGTTGTTGTTGTTGTTGTTGTTGTTGTTGTTGTTGTTGTTGTTGTTGTTGTTGTTGTTGTTGTTGTTGTTGTTGTTGTTGTTGTTGTTGTTGTTGTTGTTGTTGTTGTTGTTGTTGTTGTTGTTGTTGTTGTTGTTGTTTGCTTCTATCGTTTACTCACCCGATACACAAGCACTTGTGCCTTCTCGCTGGCTACACTTTCAAGAATTTCAGTGGTCATAGCCTTATCAGTTGACTATGGTCTCATTCTGCTAATCTTCATCAGCCACCGAGTGATTAGGTATGGTGTGTGGCGTTGCAGGCATCCTCTACTCGACCGACTGTCCAAGCGGATGCGAGCTCGTTCTGCCAAACAACAGAACCCACCACCTGCCTCCAGTATCCCATTGACAGAGCCGGCGGCTGGAGACCATATCGGTGATGGTCAGTGCTGGGGAGAGCGTCCTGCGTATGATAGACTAACGCGAATCAATGCGATACACAGTGGACTAGAGACATTTTCTCGCACAGTGCTAAGTACCAGAAAATCTTGACCATCGTCATACCAATGACCAATGCAGGAGACTGCTGTCAAGTGCAAGCACGACCACTGAATTCGCAGCATTCACTAGAACCCGTTGTGATATTTAGTGACGTGTTATTCGAATACATGTACATGTAGATCAGAATAATTACGAGGATGTTGACGAGGCATGATTATAGCATCAGGAAATTGTCAATCGGAGACACAACTTCCCAGGTGTGCAACACCTCTACAGCCAAGCCTCAACTACCGGATGAGTATGCCAATGCGCAGCTGGTCTCACGCCAAGCCTACAACCCACGCTGTGTGTCATTTGATCACCCTCTCAGTTACTTGAGACCTTCTGATGTGTAAACGGCAATCCGTCCCTGTACCGGAATGCCTATCTAAACATTGAGAACACACTTGTCTGAATTCAACCTGCCCAATAATTGAAAACTTGGAAAAACATTTCACCGACAATTTTCATCATCAACAATGATACCCAAACTCTTGTTTGCGTCACGTATTCGGATTCTACAGTCCACAAAGGCAACACTGTCGATGCTATGCATAACTTTTCACTCCCAGTAAGGCGCACAGAAGGTACACTAGCCTGCGTGTCATACCAGAATGTGTAATGGGGATAAGGTTTGGATTTTCCCATCACAATCCTAATGAAAATTAATGATCAAGGCTACAGTTGTGGCGGGTTTACAACACACCTGACAAGCCTTCTACATTAGTCTTACTGCATGAAACTCCCAGATCCATGAAATGTATGTTATAGCCATTGAGCACCGCTATGACTGCATACATGTACAGTGATAACTAGGAATACTGGGATGACGTCAGTAATTTGTATTCAGAGATCACTCATCACAGGCTCCCAGGAGGTGCCTTCAGACGTTCAGATGCATGTCGGCCCCTTCATTAGAGACCATGGCGCGCAGACATGACAACCAAATCCGGCATAGCCATCCCACCATGCCTAATAGGGAGTCTCAACACTCTCTGATCACATCCATACAATGCAGGTTGCCCCACAACAATTGGCAAAAAAACCTGAGAGAGGCAAATCTCTACAGGAGTGAGTACCTCCTCACCCAAGTCCATAGCCCGAAGAAAGTATGTCCATTTGCGCCTTAAACCATGTGTCATCGCCGCATAAGCCGCACGAGGCTCAGCAGCCGCAAATTCTGTCAGAACCTTCAGCTCTTGAATCCACTCATCCGCACGCTGAAAAGCAAAATCACGACAGAAGGCGGAGGTGTCCAGCCCAGCACCAAGGTAACAAACACCACCAGTCCTTACAACAATAGCCGAAAAAGTCTCCAAAGTGCTCGCTGGCAGCCACCTCGAGCCCAGGCTTCACAAGCAACTGAGTTTTACGTTCATTAATAATGTATCCATAATCTTCACCATGAGTTTTAAATGATCATACCACACGCGGAGCGGACCACACTTTCCCGCTGCGGCAGAATCGTCCGCATACCAACCTTGGCAGACTCTATCTACAGAAACACGCAACGATTTGACCAAAGGTGTCAATGCAACAGCGTATATTGCCATTGATAAAGGATCACCCGGTATGGTTCCCTCACGAGACAGGATGCTTCCACCTCCAGGTACATGCAGCGTTGCTGGAGACTGGTAGGTATTTGTTGCTATTTGAGATAGTTGAAGGCACACTCTGGTAACGTTGTGAAGGGCGGCGCATCGATTAAGGCAGTTGAATGCATTCTGGGCATCCACCATGAACAGAGCCTTCATTTCGGCATGCTGAAAAGCAATTTCCATTGCCTGGTCCATCGACTCGAGGCCCGTTGGGATCCCGGTACAGGCCTGTTCAACTCCACACGACTCCATAATATCGGACCTCATTACAGACAAGGCTGCCTTTGAACAAATTCGGCGAAATACCTCACCCACACCGATAGGTCTAACTCCAGGATTAGTGTTAAGCGCAATGAGCCGGCAAGCAACATAGGATATCAAAGACCCTTCCGGTAATTGGATTGTACATAATCATACCCGTAAAAATGGCTATGGCATCACAACTCGGTCAATGCACCCTTATAGCACGTACACATTCTGCGCCAAGCGCCAGAGTCCAAACCAGACGGTCCCGCCAATCAACGTACCGCCAAGGCTGTTTTCTTTATCAAGTCAATATTAATACCGCCATAGTAAATTTCATTCACATGGCCCGGTGGTCCGGGAAAGCAACACATCCAGACTAGGCACAGCAGGCGCAGGTTGTTTCTGACGCAGGATATCGCCAACCACGCAATCAGTGCCACCCACGGGCACCACATCATCCATAGCAAGAACCGGCGTATCAGACTGCTCCTTCTCACTTCTCGCATACGCACGGCTGCCGTAACTCCGCCCTCTTCCATAAGTTTAAAAACCCGGCGTGGTTGATTATGATCAAAACGACCCCCATGACCAGTCCTACCCGTTAAGCCGCGCTGAATCGTATCGCCGTCATCGAGGAGCTCCGTAAGATTTCCATCTTTCCATAACCCAAGACGACGCTCCAAGTGTTTGCCGCAATCCTTGGCTGCAGTGGCACGCCCTACGCGTTGTAGTAATAAAGAGGGTAACATGAAGAGTCTATACAAGGAAGCAATATCCACTCCCTGAGATACATGTATATTGAATTTTCGTAGTTCCGTAATGAGCACCCGAACAAACGTCTTGCCCTAGGCCCCATTAGGCGGATCAAAGAGGTTTTGTGGCCAACCAATAAACTTGTTATTGGCGCGGATGACAGTATCGGATGGTTTGACTGGAGGGTGTTACTCCGTCAGGGGCGTTGAGACGGGTGCATTACCCGAAACCTTTGGCAGGGCCTTCTATATGTGTTAAGTCAGCACCCCATAGGCTTCCAGAAATATTAAACATCCGGCAAAGGGCATCCACTGTCATTTTTGTGTGGTTTGCAGGAATCGGTCAACATCCTGGGCGAAACCGATACAGAGGCGCGGACGAGATTTTCGGGTGGTACACCTGAAGGGTGTTCCCCAACAGGGGGCGTCGAGACAGGTGCATTAGCCGACCCCTTAGCAGGGTCTTCACGATGCGGTAAGTCAACACGCAGAGGCTGGCAGGAACATTCAACGCTAGTCAAGGCGAAGCCACTGCCAAGTAGCTCATGTGGCGCGCAAGAATCGGTCCATAACCTAGGGGAAACTGATACAGAACCCGTCCGTGAAGATGGTGCTTCACCATCTGGGCGCGCACCTCTTACACTGGGGATAGGAACGGCGAAGGTGGAAGAAGCCATCCCCGAGCGCCCACCGGGCGGCTTCGGAGCAGAAGACGGAAGCCCCAACACGGACATCAGCCCGCGTAACGTTAGGGATCTCATCACCGGCATCAGGCTCAACAGGCGCCAGGCAGCCACGAATAGATGCCGTACAAGTGTTATTAGTGTTACTATTTGTATCGGCACTACATGTAGCGGGACTAGTGGTTTGCCAAACCCTCGTGTCCGGCACATTAGTTTGAAATCTCGACTTTCTGGATCCGGGAATGCGGTTGGCACAGTGCCCTTCCCGACCGGGGTAACAGTCAAAACACGGATTGCCGCTTGAGGCACACACGCAGCGAACGCATGTGCCCCCTTCCGCACAGTCACAACAAACCTTTGTGGATTACCAATTGATGCAACTACCAAGAGCGATGCGCACATCCCTTACAGAGGAGAAGTAATGACCCTGCCAAACGCACTGTAGAGCCTTTGGAATGACCAAAACAGCTGATAGAAGAAAATTATTTACGGTCAAACTCTACGTGTGTTCGCAAGCCTAGTTGAAGCCGCAAGCCACTGAGATCGAGAAAGAAGCAGTGTGACGAAGGCACTAATCTCGTGGTAGTTTGCCAAACTAAAGATAAATTTGATTTGATTTGAAGTAACCGTGGTGAAGAATTTGCAAAGAGTGCTGAATTGTAATGCTGGTATCAGTATTACGGAGCGAGCGGCATTGAAACCCTACACGCTGTCGACCGCCACTACAGCCGACCACGCCGCACTGCCACTTACACATGCAAGGCCAAGGAGCTGCCCTGCACGCAAACAAATGTAATGATAATGTTGAGCAGCGGCGAAAGAACGGCGCAGAGCGTAGTGATATTTTTCTGTGTATTTTGGTAAGGCGAGCGGCAATGAATTCCGATCCACTGTCGCTGACTACCGCTGCCGACCGATGCTGCCTATTGGCTCAATGGAAAGTGATACACTGCAATAACGATAATTATTGATTTGTCACCGGGCTTGTTGGATATGGCCCAAGAAATAATACTATGTATACGGAAATATGTATCCAGTCTAACGAGAAGTGGAAACAGGCGCGTGAAGTCAACTTAAGCCCGAATGGAAGGGATCAACAAGAAAGATGCAGTCCAGGTCCAATGCGAAAGGAGACCTAAAAAGTCTTTCTCGAACGCCTAGCCGATAATTATTATGCTGCAAGCAGCCACGGCCAAGCAATTCAAGCAAGGTCTCGCTTCAGCAGCTCGCCAGCAACCAAAGCCCAAACCAGAGGTCAAAGCCAGAGCTCAAAACGGAGCCCAAAACGGAGCCCAAGTCAGACCTCAAAAAAACCCGAAACCGACCCTGAGCTCGTTGTGCGCAGTCTTGATTGGACTGACTGTTCCGTTGCCTTCAAAGATTACGGCGTCACTGTGTCAGATCTGCAAATAGCAACACAGCTATACGAAGAAATCGGATTTGGTTAGTTTCCGACCTTTTTGCATGTGCAGTATGTGCATACAACTCCAACGTCCTAGGTGTTGCAAGAGTTCACGAATACATGGGAAGAGAGCACTGCAACATCGCATAATAATTACACACTCACATACATGTACTCATAAACATACATGCCTGTACATGAGCACACGAATACACACGCATCAGATACATAACTTGTGGAATCATTATTCTCCTACGGGCTCTTAGGCAACTTGAGTGTAGGCAACGGACTTACCAATGTCTGAGGTACTCCTTCACGGTAAGCGGATTGTTAATGGCTCCGTGAGTTTGTTACGGACAACTCGCTTTCAAACTCCTAGCTACGCTACTTTTCCACATTCCAGTTCCTCTTCGACTTTTGAAAATGATGAAAATGAGATTCGTGACCTTCACCCCGTTCATTATTGCTTCACTGGTCATGGATATCTCTGGTGTTAAGTTACCCAGTAACTGCATCCCTAGAAGTATTGAAAGCTGCACCGAGTATCATTATAATGGCTTAGATCGGTACAAATGTGTTGTGCCTACTCGCGACCATACGCACTCGAGAGATGGAAATGGATTACAACCAGTGGCAGCCTTTCAGTTTGGCCGCAACTGTTCAATAATGATTGCTGATCTGACTTTGGGTCATCGGGGAGCATGCGACATCAGGGTTTCACAAAGTCGGCAAGACGATGTAGCTGCAGAAGAGAGGGTATTGTATAATATACCTCTTGATAGAAGCCAACAGAAGATTGTCAGTTCTCGAGTCCTTGATATTTCACTACATCCAGGCACAGTTCTGAAGATCGAAGTGTTCTCCGCTCCACCTGCGAGGTCCTGTCACCTAGAGAGGATTGGTCGAGGCAAATCCTCTGTCAGCTTCGTACTTGAAGGTAGGTTGACGTATGTGTAGACCGCTGTAGTAATGTTGCTGGTTGCTTCTATTGTGTATTCACCCGATACACAAGCATCTCTGCCTAGTCGCTGGCTAGATTTTCAAGGAGAGCTGAAAAATGTGCAGAGTTTACACGCAGCATTTTGGCACTGAAATACCACGAGAAGATTTTGAAAATGGTGTCGATGTACTCAAACTGCCCGACACAACAGTCAACATACATCCCCACCAGTCTCTCGGTGAGATGATTTCATTACTACTGATTTCATAACGGCAACGAATTGCTTTGCGACATTACATAGTCTAAGATGGTCAACAATTCTCGAATGAAATGATACACTTGACTGGAATATTTTGTCGTCAACATTCTATGGTGGATATCGGAGATAACTTCTATCAGTACTTCTTACTGATACATGTGCTGGTGATATTTCCCAGCAGCCTGCAACAAGCCTTTTCTGCATTTAGTAGTATCAATTATTACACACTGCGTTTCCTGTGAACCGATCAATTTTCAGATGTGAACGAATGCAGTTCTTCGCCTTGCAATGCGTGTGTCAATACGTTCGGATCGTACTCGTGTCAACCTAATTTCAACAGTAAGTGAAGGAACTGTGTTCGGCCCTGCAGTCTCCTGCACAACCTCCATTGCATGGTCATGTATCAGAGGAGTATGAATTGATTACCAGTATACTTGACGTCCATTTTCCTGGAGTGGCATGCACTTTGCCAGCATATATGACATTGTATATTCCTGATTGGAGTCTTGTTCGGACTGGAATGGAGACCCAAGGGTAAATTTGTAAGAAATAGAAAAGGGACCAAGAAGTAGTCTTATTTGCTTTCTTTCTGCAGCATTCCCCAAATGGAATCTCACTACACTACCTCCCGTATCGTCCGCCTCTCGGGAATGGTTCATCTCCTCTTCACAACACGCAGAAGGTACGAAGCCTACTTCTGGAGCAGCGGACAGGCACGACTCCGTGGCCATCGCCTTGTCCGTTGGCTTTGGCCTCATTCTGCTAATCTTCATCAGCCACAGAGTGATTAGGTATGGTATGTGCCGTTGCAGGCATCCTCTACTCGACCGACTGTCCAAGCGGATGCGAGCTCGTTCCGCCAAACAACAGAACCCACCACCTGCCTCCAGTATCCCATTGGCAGAGCAGGCGGCTGGAGACCACCTCACTGATGGTCAGTGCTGGGGAGAGCGTCCTGCGTATGATAGACTAACGCGAATCAATGCGATACACAGTGGACTAGAGACACTTTCTCGCACAGTGCTAAGTACAAGAAAAGCGTCACCATCGTCATGCAATATACTGGTACCATTGACAGGTGCAGGAGACTCCCATCAAGTGCCAACACGACCACTGAACTCGCAGCATTCACGAGACTACTCTAAGAGATACAGTGAAATCAAGGATGTTGTTTGAATAGATCAGAATAATTACGAGGATATTGACGAGGCCTATAGTATTGAGCAATTATCAATCGGAGACGCAACTTCCCATGCGTGCAACACCTCTACAGCCAAGCCTCAACTACCGGATGAGTATGCCAATGCGCAGCTGGTCTCACGCCAAGCCTACAACCCACCCTGTGTGTCATCTGATCGCCCTCTCAGTTACTTGAGACCTTCTGATGTGTAAACGGCAATCCATCCTTGTATCGGAATGCCTATCTAAACATTGAGAACACGCTTGGCTGAATTCAACCAGCCCAATAATTTAAAAGACTTTTAAAAACACATCACCGATAATTCAGATCATCAACAATGATACCCAAACTCTTCATTTTGTCTCATTCATTCGTATTCTACAGTCTACAAAGGCCACACTGTAAGTGCTATGAATAATATTTGCGGGAAATGAGTCACGCAACATGTACGCTAACCTGTGAGTTAGGCAGTATTCGTAACATGGTTACTTTGGTATTTTCACATCATAATACTAACAATGAATAACTATTAGCCAGCTAACTATGTTGGCCATCTAACAACACAAGACTTTGAAGTGATTGGCCTCTGCTATTGCCTTTACTGCATGGACCTGCAATATGCTTGCAATGCACTAAAAACTGGATGATGCTGTGTTCTAAAGTTGTTGGTTTATAAATCTGTTGATAAATCATTTTTCATTTTGTGGACGCAAACGGGAACCTAGACAAATTATAGCCATTACGAGATTAACGCACACAAGAACAGGGTGGGGAAGATAACATGTGTATGGAAGGGGGTAAAATACTCAAAATACATCTACATGTACATGTAGGTGGGCCATGAGGCTCCTATCACTTCTTCGGATAACTGCTGCTGTCGAATGTAGAAGAAATAATAATACATATCATCGTACATATATTTCGCCTATCTCAAGTTTTTACAATACATCCACGTAATGTTAGCCTGTCTCTTTTTTTCGTGGGACGTGATCGCCCTCTGACACCTCATAGTGGTGATTAGATGCCTTCATGGTGTAGTAGTACCCACTATCATGAGCAACAGTGCCACAATCACGGTTACTTGCCATGGGCGTGTATTCGCCATCCTGTACGCATGTGTTAACTGTCTGCTGCTGTGCCTGCACGTGTTGAGACTGGACAGCGCTCACGTGGTATGGCTGTACATCATAGTGGTTGTCTTGATCGCAGTGATTACTGGTACACCGGTTAGTATTCACATAGCGCATGGCATTGGCCGGCTGCTTTCTGTCCTTTGTATCTCGTTTACGACGTTTCAGTGCATAACATGCTGTACAGATGATGATAGCAATAGTGATAATTCCAGCTAGCGACGCAGCTACGATGATAATCAATAGTGATCGTTGTGTATCCTGCATAGCCGTTGTTCCGAGTTCAGATGATCTTGTAGTGGGTGAGGCTCGATATTCCCGAGACAATGTGGTCAGTGGTTGCGATGTTGAATTGACACCTGCAACAATTGAGGAAAAGGCCAAAGTAAACTTTCTGTTTTCTAAACATGTAGTACGGACAACAATACTTGGGTTTAGCATATTGTCATAGTTCTTTTCCGGTTTTTTAGATTTGTCTCATTCCACAATTTTCTTACATCGCATTCACATTTCATGAAATGGACGCATCTATCGTATCCACCATCACGATTTGATAGCTCTAACAATGACGATACACATTTGAACTTCCAGTACCGCGAAGATAGCTACGAGTGGGTAACCAAACAGTACTATCTCAGTGTTTTGAAAGCCCAGATAAACCCTTCCGTGCCATGAAACATGAAAATATTATGTTCGGGGTGAATCTCTTTTCACGACAGACTTCTTAGAGTGGTGGCTTAACGACGGGTAAGGACGCAGGCATGTGCCACTCACTCCGACATTAACTCTTGCCCACTGTACCCAAAATCTCGTGCAATGTACACGCACACGGGGATAGCAAACTATCATAATGGACAATAATCCTATTACAGGGTTATACATGTACGACTGGCGAAGGTTATAGCATGAGCAATTGCTCGTAACTGTTATGCCTTGGTTTTATCACAAGGGTATTGACCGAGTAAAGTATGATAGAGGAGCATGTGCTTGTGAAATCTACATGTATAATGTACAATGTCATGTACTCACCTACTAACATAACAGCGACACGCGGTTCACCCAGCCCATTGGACTCGATTTGACAGTAATCCCTGGCATTTGTGCGACGCACATCCACACGAACACCATCCTCGGACACGAAGCGAATTTTCTCTTTAATCTGGAGTTGCTTTTCACCCGATGATGAATTGGTGTATGCGACCAGGCTCCGCATATGCTGAGTCCCAAATTTCATCTCTGTCAGCGTAACGTTAATAGTGCAGGTCCCCACGTACCATACGCGTACCTTAGATAATTGTAACGGACACCCTTCGTAGAACTGATACAGAACAGAGTACTCCAGCCCGTAAGAAATAGCCCAAGTGGATTGCGACACTTTGGTGCGAAACACATAGAACGTGTCTTCGTTGCTGCTATACTTGCGATTCAGAAGCTGTTCGTGTGGATAACAATGCTCAGATATGAATGTCCTGTTGTTACCCCAGCACACAGTAGAGACAGCCAGCAATACCATCACATTTATGCACAACATTCTGCAGACCATGGCTGACTGAAATTGTCCAACACACTTTTACATTGCAAACGTACAACTGTACAGAAAGATTCCGACTGAAGTTCTATTTGTCTCTTTTTGATAGTGCTGCGAGTGGTAAACCCATACAATGTTGTTTACAAGATGGGCAGTCTTTCCATCTCCCAGCAGTCAAGTACATGTAGTTGAACGCAATGGGATAAGAGGTGTAGAGCTCAGTGAACTTGAACCTTCGATACATGTCGCGTAATACAGTGCTTTCCTTAACCCTGAGCACCATCTGACAGCATGAAGCGCCGCTGGACGCCCACACATGTTTCCTCAACACATTCACAGATCAGTTACATGTATATGTAGTCACATTGCAGAATATTGTCCTGCAGCGCCACACGAAATCAAAGCAACGTCACGAGGAAGGGATCAGGCTACAGGAAATCACGCGTCATAGTGGCAATAATAATTGTTTTAACAATACAGTGTTTAACTACAGTGATGACAATATCATAGTTCTCCACATTGTGAATATCGCAGCACACTGTACTTGGGACGGTGTGACCCATCTAGACTAAGTACATGTAGATGTATAATTCTGCTAAGAAAAAGCATCTACTACAGAACTAGAGGATCTTGTGCTATTCAAAACTTCAACGATCAAAAGTCAAACGTATTGTAGATACTGCTCGGGAATAATCTACACAGTACAATACTCTGCCGTATAGTATTCAATACACACAATTGAGAGGATCGAAAGCGTGTCCGCTGTAACTCTGAGTTTCACGGTTTTAACTGATCATCAGACAGCAACTTGACTACAATTTTCAGAAGATATGATTGATATGTACTTTGTCTTCAATATCATAAATTTATATTCTATCTATGGCTAATATACGGCTATGATACGTTTGGATTAACACCGATGCAGTTCAATATGACATTGTATAGCGGCTGGATATTATCGGTCATTGATGGTTTCCAATTCGTAGTACAATGCATCGTGTTTGGGTTGTGGCAGCGTGGGGGGAAGTTCGCTCACAGCGTCGATTGGGCAAGCATAGTCAAAATCCGGTCCAACAATTGCCTCCGAATTGGTCTGTATATCTTGTCGCCCATTCCTGAATTCTATAGGTAGTTCATACCCCTGTAGATCGGTAAGGGTGGACAGAGTGCGTGTACGGCTCTTTCCCGCTCCGCTAATGGGCAAAGAGGTTGTAGAGGAGCCCGCAGACGAGAGGTGATTGTATTCGTACAGATTAGCAGCTCCATCCCGATCTCTTCCGCTCCTGGCTGTGGTGACGTCACCTGCATGGTGGCTCTCCTCTCCGACAGTACAATACTCTGCTGTATAGTACTCAATGACTTCATACTGATCCGTACCATTTTTTGCAGGACTGTGATCAGAATTGTGTGCAGGCGCGGCCACTGGCATGTGCTTCACTGCGGTGTTTCTAGCCGATTCCGCTGTGAACGTGTTCGCTTGCAGGCGCGGGGGTTTCTTTCCCTGGTGGCGCCGTACAAGAATCACACTGATGATTATGGCGATGAAAATGGCAAAGCCAACAACGAAGCCAACCACTGCCATGAGAGTTGTGGAGGTGGAGGACTGCTTGCCAGTGCTAGTGTTGGCTAGGACAGTGCTGGGGCCATCTGTTGTTCCGAGCAGAGCAGCGCTGGAAGTCATAACTGCATCCGAGATCTGTGCTCCATTGACATTGGTATCGTGACTTGCATCTGATGCGTCTGCTACCTCAGGACTGTATATTGGAAAAGGACTTAGCGGCGCGCTTGAGCGAATGCCTGAACAGGGCGCAAGGAACAGAAGAAACAAAACTGTCTCAAAACCTGAACTTACTTGTCTGTGTGAGCTTCCCCGGAGAATGCCCCATGCACGCAGTGTGCTGAGAGTGCTAAATACCGCTGAAGCAAAGCGTATCAAAAAGACCTCTGTTGGAGCTTAGCTCCAAATCAGCACACCGTCTACTAGTAGCGCTATCATTTTTTTCTGACTTTGCTGAAATGATTCAACCAAGTTTCGCAGATTTCCAGCTAGCTCGCTTAATATCGCAGGTACAATGTAGCTACGTACATGGACAAATTTCACCATGGGCACATTGATGACTTAGACGCTATGCATGCAACCATGATGTTCTAAGCACTAATACTGACCTACATGTATGAAAATTGTAGAACACACGTAGTAGTTTGTGGAGCAAAACATTCATTACAGAGAATGGGCGTTGGCCCAATCCAGGAATGCAATGCCAATGATCAGTTCAGCTACCTATTTACCTGCGGCTAGAAGGGAGATGTTCAACTTCATTGCGCTGTTGTGGTTATAAACATACTGGACTTCGCACGGCTGTGATTGCTCATTCGACTCTGTATCGCTCTGGTATACTTTCACGATCAATATATCACCTTGAGCTGCGAGTACACCGCTTCCATTTACTGCAACGGTCTTCTCGGTGCAATTGGAACTGCAGCGTAGATGGAGTTTAGACTTGAAAAAGTTACTATCTTCAGACTCGATACCTTGCTTTTTCAAGCGGTGGAAAGATACATTGACTTGGCAATTGCCCCTACTTCCAAGATAGAATTTCAGACGGTAAAGCCGGCATGATCCAAGATCGAAGGTGAAATTGATGATTTCTGCTGGTTTGCCAACAGGCTTGTACAGAGACTGTGTATCCGACGCAAAGTCCACTTTAGTGAATAACACATCACTGGAATCTATTTCTGTCTGGCGCGTTCCTATGATTGAACACGAAGCCGAACTTTGATACACTACGAAATTCCATACCAACAGAAACAAACTGAACAAGCGCAAGTCCGTCATTTCCTTTCCTGGCCGGAGAAACTTGCAAGCCGACAAGTAAACCGCTGAGACTGGTCAACCGAGAACTATCACTTGCTTCATCTCTGGAACACAGACTAGATACAATTATGCACCTCACAGAATGTCCTTTGGCGCGAACGGTTTAGCACAGACCAGGCACAGACACAGGCATAGACCAGCTGTGAAATCCAGGAGTAGAATGGAGACTGGCGTACAGGAATATGCGAACGAACGAACCACAACGCTGGGTGCTAGGTTATACAGCAGGCGGAATTGCAATATTCAGCAGTGTGCGTATATACATGTAGGTCCACTTGGCATCCTGTCTTCACATCCGCCATCTGGCTGGCGTGTGCGATGCCCGCTCAACACAGGGTGAATTGAAGTGCTAAAGCTCACTGTTTGCGCTCCGCTTCGGGAAATATCGGAACCCAGAGTTGTACCTCTCAAGCCAGGACAACTGATACAGGTATAATTATGTATTGTGTTGTACCTTCCTGTAGCTACATGTACATCATAGTACATGTACAGTACTGGCAACTGAAATCCGACCCCCCGAGCGGTGCGCTCACATCGCAAAGACCCGAAATAGAGGCCGCTAGAAAGTGAACGCGCCGCTCTGGGGGTCGGATTTCAGTTGTCAGCACTGTATAATTATACATTATACATTATACTTCGAAGTACAAACTCGGAGGGAGTTGTGGTTGCTCGTGAGAGTGCTCAATACACCAAGGTGCAGAGCCTAGTACACACACTTGAGAGGGACATCGCCTCCCTCAGAAGAACATGTGGTCGCATGAGCCTAGGCCTAAAGTGTATTCTTTTTTTGGGCCTATTTTTGCACCCCATCAACCAACTCACGCATTTTTACAATTACACTATCAGCCCGGATCATCCATTCGCGCTGTGATCTAAGCTTGCAGCCTATATCAATCTTATCTTCTGAAAATTGTAGTCAAGTTGCTGTCTGATGATCGGTTAAAACCGTGAAACTCAGAGTTATACTTCGAAGTACATGTACATGTACATGTACATAATGATGCACACATACGTTGAGACCTAACAAAGCCGAAACAGCTAGCTACCGCTTGCCAGGAGATAGAGTACAATGCAATGTATGCCATGATATGCACTCACGTATGTGGTTATTTTACTAACAAACACAGCCCTACAAAAATATAACGGTAAGCGGACATTAGAGAAACGGACATTAGAGAAACGGACATTAGAGAAACGGACATTAGAGAAACGGACATTAGAGAAACGGACATTAGAGAAACGGACATTAGAGAAACGGACATAAGCGAAACGGACATTAGAGAAACGGACATTAGAGAAACGGACATTAGAGAAACGGACATTAGAGAAACGGACATTAGAGAAACGGACATTAGAGAAACGGACATTAGAGAAACGGACATTAGAGAAACGGACATTAGAGAAACGGACATTAGAGAAACGGACATTAGAGAAACGGACATTAGAGAAATGGACATTAGAGAAACGGACATTAGAGAAACGGACATTAGAGAAACGGACATTAGAGAAACGGACTTTAGAGAAACGGACATTAGGGAAACGGACATTAGAGAAACGGACATGAGAGAAACGGACATCAGAGAATAGAAAAAAGAAGGGAAGTAGCCTAGTAGGGTGGTGTGCTGGGAGGGGGGAGGGAGGGGGGAGGGAGGGGGAGGAGGGGAGGAGGGGGAGGAGGGGGGAGGGGGAGGGGAGGGGGGAGGGAGGGGGAGGGAGGGGGAGGGAGGGGGAGGAGGGGGAGGGGGAGGGGGAGGGGGGAGGGGGAGGGGGAGGGGGGAGGGAGGGGGAGGAGGGGGGAGGAGGGGGGAGGGGGGAGGGGGGAGGGAGGGGGGGGGGGGAAGGGGAAGGGGCTGGCGGAAGCTCATCTACTCGTCACAAATAATTGACTGTGATGGATGATCCCAGGATGACTTGGTATCATTTTGTACTGCAATAACATTGTTCCATCGGGAAAGGGAAAATGAACACGAGAAATACAATACATGTACAAGTGCAGAACAAGGAGATATTGCGTATACACGTAGGTGCAACGGAGTGTCTGTTTTGGTGAATCTGTAGGATGTCCACTGACCTTCGTCTCAGCAGAACCATGCCACGAAAACAACAACAATTGGAAGGAAAATGACATAAGTCTGTATACGTAACGGCGGCCCGGATCAGAAGATGTGGATCAAAAAAGAGGGAAGGAAGAATATTAGAAAATAAAAATGCGTCGTCTGAAGTGGTGAGTTGCACAAAATCCAGCCCCGGGAGGGGGGGATCATCAGATATTCTTCTTTATATACTCCGAGGCGCAAAAGGCTTGAAGGCACGTACATGTCTTCATTGAAGTCAACAGCCACACATTTTCTCACATTACGTCTTGCTAGTTTCCTTCCTGCTTCTTCTCCCTGGTAATATTTGTGCTTGGAGAGCGATCAGAGGTTGGAGCCTCAGTCTCCTTAGTAATGCACCATGTGTTCAGTTTGGGACACATCATTATGATTGCTTAAGTTGGTTAGTTTCTTATCCCGATTATCTGTAGTACACCGTAGGTGGACGGGAAGGCAGCAATCACCAGGGAGGTGAAGAAGGCGAAAAGGCTTCTATCGACGTCAGGAGAGTGAAATTAATCGAAGAAGCATTCTTGTTACAATTAGACAGTGAGATAAAATACATGTGTTTATGTAAAATTATACGCTTAATATCACGGTACAATAACTTTCTTGGAGACAGGAATCTTATCACTGAAAGAAAAACTACAAATCACAAGCTATTCTTCACCATAATCAATAAGTTGATTGTTCCAACTAGGAACACACGCGTCTTGCCGAACTTGACACTTAACTGACTCACGACTGCCATCCGGAGCACACGAGGAGCGCGCCGCACTTTCCACTCGGCAAACCTGCAAGAAAGCACCACTCCCTGCTCAATACACAGTGTTTCGGGGAATTCACCCCTCATCAGTTGAGCTTGAGTAGGCTGAGGAAGATTGTGCCTGAAAACACCACTTATATACTGCTCTCCAGGCCAAACCATCACCAGGGATACAAACTTACAGAGACGCTTTGTTTCCAGCGCGACAAACACCTCGTGTAGCTCCAGGTAGCAGCGTGAGTCAGAGTCGATCATGGAGTTGGGATAAACAGACGTTGAGAGCCAGTATAGCTATTCGCAACGCTGTCACCTCCAACAACTAGTCGCACGTCCGCGTGAGGGACATCAACTCTCTAAGTCTCATCAATAAGGATTCCGAAATTCATGAACCAGGTTTCGGGCATTCTCTTAAAATGAAATACAGGCAGCCAGAACCAATGAAACATAGGGGTAAGTAGCATCACAAGGGTGATAAGCATTACAACTACTTCAAATTGGGTGATAAGTTTAGGGAAGATTTTATGCACATGGTGTGAGAAGAAAATGGGAAAGAGAAGGTGAGAAGTGAGACAAGAGGAACTAAAACACCCACTGTGTAAAGACAAACACCAAATGGACGCTACATTAACTAGTGGGATCAGGTGTCAGTAAACAACTAGTGCAAGTGTCAATGGTTATTCTGTTGATCGTGTGTCTGATCGTGGATATTATTCTTCTGTTGCCAACCACCTCATTTCGAATGCTGATTGTGCTCGTGTGTATTCTGAAAGCCACTTCTCTGTTTTGCCACTTACTCGTGTGCGAAGTCTCGCCCGTATTGTCCAGTGGTCTTGCCAGTACCGTCCTCGACATGCATGAACATCCGCCAACGTCCTTCACAGCTGAGACTTTCAGCTCGTGCTTGTCTTGGTTGCGCTCACCTCTCCCCTCCCCATGTTATTTCTATAACTTGAAGTTAGAACCTTTCAAGTTGAAAGGCTGTTGGAGTGCGCATTTAAGATGTGCTAGAGCTGTTAGCCAGTTAGTTGTTGAGCGTCAGTACCGTCGGTCAGTGTCGTGCAATGTTATCGCATGAGCTGATTGTTTAGTAACTGGTGGTGTTAGTGGACACTATAGTGTAACTTGTAGGTTCTTGGTCCTTTTGTCTTTACTATAAATTTATCCTTGGCTCTCCATGCGAGTCCAAAATAATAGAATATAATTTTCAGTACAATGTACAATGTATGCACGTACATGATTTTCCTAGTACAAGTTACATGTAGGACATGCATAGTACCAAGAGTATATAATAATGTACGTATTTAAATGTAGTCTTGAAATTATTATTTTTATTTTTATTTTTTTTATTTCACCATCCAATGGCAGAAGCCAATGCAAAGGAGGGGGCGTTAGCCGGCCATGGCAAGAGAAGAAAAAGAAAGAAAGAAGGAAAGAATATGATAATCGAAAGAAAAGAATGCATCAGCGGGGTGAATTTTATCACTATGTTGACCATGGTGGAGAGCGGCGAGATAAGCTAGCAAAAGAGGCGAGCAAGCCTTCAACGTGGCATGACATTTAACATGGTCTATGAACTGTCTAATATTGGATATTATCTTCATTTCCATGGGCAGCTTGAGCCAATACGAATATGCAGAAAAGATCGGAGATTTGGTAAAAATAGTTGACAAAGCTCTGGGAAGTACTATGCCATTGCGAGTGTCCCGTGCGAAAGTAAACCAATTATAGTTGCTGAGATGTTCAGGGACAATGTTGAGTTTAATACGATGGAACAGAACGCATGACTCTCTCTACGACAGGACATGAAATGTTGTGCTGTAGTGTGCTGTAAACAGATGTTTTGTAGACAGCATCCACTGTTCAGTCTGTTAGACGTTACATGAACTGCGCCCTCGAAAGCGGCACAAAGCGGAATAGAAACATACTGACTGTATGAAGCCACTGCCTGGATTTTACTGCCAATCGCACAAATAATATTTATTGATTTCCCGATTATGAGTCGCATTATCTCGCCTTTCCCGATGGGCCTCAAGCCTAGATTTTTGTCCAGAGGAATATGCCTTCCAAGCGGTGTAGGCTTCTTACCTTACTGGATCAATATAAGTGGTGGCGATTCGAATGGCACAGGTGGCGATAGCGTCACATACATGTAGACCACCAGACGCCTTACTGAACGAAGTGAGCATGCGCTGCCAGATATCAGCATCCACTCCAGACGGTCCTGCAGCTCCCTTCACCTTTTTTTTCTTTTTTTCTTAAGCCTCTTATACGGGCAATCACAGAACATGATTTCACTGGCCT